AGAACCTATTCTTCCTTGCTTTTTAAAGACAACAAATTGGTTTAGTAGTCATTAAAAGCAGGTCTTGGAAGCACCAATTGTATTGCCATAACTTGATAAAGATTGCGGTTCTGATGGTAAATGTCAATGGTAAGTCACACAATGAAATATTAACATACTGATGCACACACAAATCCAGATCCCTACCCACGCTGAGACACCTTCAATCCTACTGTCTTTCTAAATTGCACACCTTTGTCTGAACATTACAGCCGGATCCATGTTTGCTGAGGTCATTCTGACAACTTGGCGAATTTCTTTGGCAATCATTCTGAGTTTCTCAAAATTTACCAGGCCATCCACTTTAGAATCATTTCCTGCATAATTGAAACACACACACAGATATGAAAAAAAGAGAGTAAGAAATACTTTTTTAATGGGCAATGTGTTTCTAAGTCCCCCACGTCACCCTTCCTCCCTCCTTGCCCCTCCATCAACAAAACTGCTTTAATCAAAATAGCAAGAAAACAGGAAACTGGTAAAACACAAGTGACAATCAGGCCCACTCAGACTACCTAGCATTGCTCTTGTTAATCTGTTTCTAAAGTAACAAGTATTAGTAGGAGGAAAAAGGAGTAAGCGAACTATGCCCAAATTCATTGGCATAGACATTAAAATAATATAAATATAGAATGGACATCAACAGTGTTCACATTCTGAAATTAGTTTAAATAGTTCTGAAACATCACAACCAAGAATTGGGCGTATTTGGAAATGCTTAACACCTTAACCAATTGTGAACAGAACTTTGTGTAAAAGGAACAAAATGGAAATGTTTAAACAAAAACCCTTGAAAATGCTGAAAGCAAGAGTAGGAGGTGTTATATCATCGTAGCTGTCTGAAAGCCACAACATGGAACAAAAAACCTAGAAATATCGCAGCAACACGTTTTTGTAAGAGAAATGTATTTGAAGTAGTGTAACTACCAGTTAGCACACTCACCTACTCTTCCACCTTAAATCTGATGAAGATTAAGCATTGCTTTTAAAATATTAAAAATAAGCATTTAATTTTTGGCTAGGATCAGTCTCGTCCATTATGCATTCAGAGTTCTATTTTATTTTACTCCTACAAAGGATACATCAAAAGCATCCTTCTTTTAAACATTTGTCGAATCACGGAGCACTGAAGAAAGGGCTAAAGCATATTCAATGCTTAGTTTATTATTTCTTTATGTTTGACATTACCTTCATGCAGAAATGTGATATCCTTCTTGACAACAGGAAAAAGTGGAATAATTGGAGGCTGCATGCTCTGGCTGCTAAGGATGTTGCGGTATTTTGCCATGTTTCGAGATGGATCAAAAAGATCTTGAAGGTCTCTGAGGTGCTTTTCATACTTGCTCGGTAACTTTTCCCAAGTGCCTCTGAGACGTGCTACTGGTGCTAGATTTAACCCGCTGTAAGGCAGACACATTTCGTTATTAGCTGTTAGAGGAATCATTACCTTTCATAAGGAAGTGAAGGGTTGGTTTTTTGTTTTAAGAATTAAAAATAGCTTTCACAAGGTTAACTGTAAAGCTGGGTGAACGCCAGGCTGCAAGTTCATCACAATAAACCTCTGCTGTTCACTCTTGTGACCATGTGAAAAAGAGAACTGTAAAAAGCATGACTGCTTCCTATTCACAAAGTACAAATTTCAAGTTAGCCTGCCAAAACAAGCTCTCTGTAACACAGTACTGATGCCCATTTAATTTAAGAACCGCTTCTCTCCTGTAAAAACGTATACCACAATAAGGACAAAAAGGGTGAAAAATTGATGAGGTGAATATACGGCTACAGTAGAAAGTAAGAACAGTGCACAGCTTATCCCAAGCAAAAGTAGCAAGACTTAAGAGGAGTATGTTTGGAGCATTTGTAAACGAGCACCGACAGACTGAGAATTAGAAGCAGCAGACATGCTAAAACTTGCTATTGTGGCCTCATTCTCATTAAGTAAAAATATATCCAGAATTATCTGGATGCAATAAAAAAAAATAAAAAATAAAATATATCCATCCTCCCTATCATAATTTGTCACCAACTTTGCTCAAGAAATGTTGCAATGACTGCGAAGTCCTTGTAGCTGCAGAACTGGAAAGTGATATTCTCCAGCATTCATTAATAAATCCAGAACCATACAATTACTGAATTTGCTATTCTAAGAAGATTTTCTAGCATTCTGAAAGCTTCAAAAATTTATTTTGTAAAATAAATAAAAATTTATTTTGTATTTGTTTTCATACAGATTTCTCTCCATGCTATTGTCAAACCACAAAGCCTTCTCTCGTGAAAAATCAAACATATGCCACCACACATTCCTCTTTTACATGCTGCATTAGGATGGTTATCTTCCTATTTCATGAAACATATGGCATCGTATTGATATGCAATGCAAGGCAAGGCAAGAAAAAGAACCTCTGTGGCATATGCTAACAAAAACATATTTCTCTGGAAATAAGAGTAAAACAAAAGCTAATTTATTTGCTTTTTTTTTTGACCAAAGACCACTTCAGTCATGGCCTGATTAGACTTAACTGAGAAGCAGGAAGAGTAATTTCTCCACCTACAATAAACCATGAGAAATTAGGGAGCAGAATACAGAAATTAGATTCAATATCCACGTGTGCATTCACCATGTAATGAGTAGCCACAGCCTCAATGGTTGCCCAGTACCCTTTAAGGAAATTCATGAATTCTTTAATGTATGACTAAACAGCAGCCAATACCATTTGATAAACTGTCTAGACATGGAAGAAAATATTTTAAAATGGTATTTTCAAAGAGAGTGCTGGTGCTGGGACACAGCATGAATCCAGATCTTTGCCTGATGAATCACAGTGCCTTTTTTTTCCCCCCCCTTTTTTTTTAAAAAAAAAAAGTAAAACCTGGGCATAAGACAATTGCAAATTAAGAAAATGCTGAACTCATGCTGTTAAAGTAGCATCAGAAGAGAAAGTCTACATGTGCAAATGAAGAGGAAAAAAAAGAGAAGCAAGCAGATGACAGGAAAGAATGAAAAGGAAAATTAAACTAAAACAAGACTGATTTGAGGAAGTCCTTACAATGAAAGGAAGAAATAAAATAATCTCATCATCGCAGACATGACTCAGTGCACACTGAGAAAGTAACAATGACTGAAAAAAGAAGGGAAATTGGGTGCCAGAATCACAGAAAATGACAGCAATGTTCAGGCAGGTTTCTCAAGTTCATCAATCAAACAGTGCTTTTGTCCAAACCTTCTCTTAAACCACCGCAATAAGACTGAACTTCCGAAGCTGAGGAAGGAAAAGACTGCAGCGACAATACATCTCTTTGTACAGCCTGGCTTTTGAAAAGCTTGGTAATTCCCTTAAAACCACCCGGCACCATCAGCAATCTGTTCAGGATATACCTATTTCTTTTCTTTCCGTTTAGATTAACGGCCTTTGACAGCACAAATCAGATCTGACAAATAGGAAGTGTTTTACCTTATAACAGCGAACATGGAATTGAAGTTCTTGCATTCTCGACAGTGGAGGGCAATTTTAATGAAATGCTTAATAATCTTCATTCTTTTGAGTTGGTTGGACTCTGCTAAAATTTCCATGGCAACCCAGAACGTCTCTTGATTTATAACATCCTCAAACTGTTTCAGGTGAGCATTTCCTGTTTTGGAGTCCAGCTTATAAAGGTCATCGATATACTCTGTAGGCTCAATATTGCGAAATAGTTCAAAGTCTCTCATGGAAAGCTGAGTGGCGACCTCAATGGTGCTCAGCTGTAGAAGGGAAATTTGGCTTTCTCTCAGTAGCTCTTGAGCATCCTCATCTGAGCATAAGGTCTCTGTCTCCATATTGTTTTTTAGATAATACCTGAAGAATAATTGAGTTACAATAAAACATTAGAGATGCTCTTCAGAGGGTTTGGGAACACAAAGACATTGAACTACACCAATCAATGTGGACATTACTGACACCGCAGAGGTGTTTACGTGACAGTATTTCTGCGTTACTGTTGACAACCCAGTGTAAGAGGCAAAGACAGAGGCAAGAATGGACAGCATAACCTTGTACTTTAGCTAGTATAAAATACCATCATTACTGAAGTAAAAAAACATTTCAAAAGCTGTTTTAATCTACCTCTTTGCTAATATTTTCTATACTGTACTCCGTAATATGCTGTAGCTTTCACCTTCAGAAAAAGGTCAGTTACTTTTCCATTTGTAAACTCAGCAGTGAAGTAACGTTTTAAATACATATTAGTCCTGAGAAATCTCTTGTTAATGCATTTCTCCATTTCTTACCCAAATTTAGTGTTGTTTCTTACATAAGTTTAGTGTGGCATATTAATATTTACATGAAGCACATAGTATTCAGGAAATGAAAACGTATCTGGAAAATTCATTTCCATGGTCCCAAGCAGATCACTTTCAGATACACAAAAGTTAACTCCTCATACATTCCCTCTGTTGCCTAGCAAAGACGACTGAAGAATTTTTTACTTAATAAACTTTCTCCTGGTATGGATCAGGTCATCAGATAAAACTGAAGCACTTAACGTTTCAGAAACATTCATAACAGTTTACATAAAAATGGAAGAATTTCTCTCAGGTTAGTATCAGTTCATTGCAATGTGACATCACCGAGAAAGAAATTAATCGTATGCTTTAATCCTGAAGTACATGTGGAAAGTGTCAGAACGAATGTAACTTTTTTCTTTTTAAGTGTAAGCCACTATATACATTATCCTGATCTGCTAAATTTAGTTGTCATCAAGCAAGCTTGCTGCAGATTTGTGGAGGGGTTTTTTGGGTGCAGAAGAGGAAGGCGAAACAAGGAAGAAAAGAGGAGAGAGAAGTGTAAGTTACTGCCATTTACTGGCTTGTTCTTCTAATAGAAACCTGTCTATTTTAATTAAAACATCCTTCCCCAATGTTTCTTTCAGATGTTTCAATCCTAAAAGGCAAATAAATCCACACCAAAATCGCAATAAGGGCCCATTTACCGTCCATTGAGTTGAATCCTGTCGGCCAATTTTGAGAACTGATCTGGGAGTCTCCGTTGTTTGATGACTCCCTCGGGGCTGACAGACACTTCGCAGAGCGAGTATGTCTCCGGGGCTCCCGTCAAGTTGAATTCGTGGACGGCGTGACTCACAACCTCTTTTGCGGTAGTGTCTTTGCTGATGATGATGTAACAACTCTGCTGATCTGCTTTGAAAACCCTTATTACTTGATCCGGAATATCTAAAATAACAGAATAGCACCTTTAATGTATGAAGTTACTTATCCCTTGAAAAGACACAAGGTCAATTTACTGTCTCATTTGATAGCCAGAAAACAAAAAGCAGCTAGCAAGAAAAAAAGCCATGCTGGACTTGATAAATATTCATTAAAATATTCAGTTGTTTCCTTCAACTTTGAGAGGAAAAAAGAGGACTCTTCTCCTCTCTGCATTTCCACAACTCAATTACTTTATCATCCCATGACCACAATCAAAGTACAAGACACCTAGATATATTACTAAGCAGTACGCTGGCCTTCTCAGCATGTCTCAAAAACTTCAGCAGCATCATTCCTCCTTTGGCTCTTTTATACAAACGTTGCAAGAGCCAGAATCAACATGCGTGCAAGGGTACTCTGCCTGGGGACAGGAAGGCATCAAGCACGCGTGGATGGGCTGCAGGCGGGAGGACATGAAGTGGAAAGGAGATTTGGTTGCTCCCACAACTAGCTGCAAACTTTTACGCTCCCTCTCACCCTGAAGGAACTAAGCTGCTGCCAGCAGTTAATTCTTTGGCTGGTGTACTTATTCATAGCACATTTTATGTATTATAAATGCATTAGAGAACAGCTTTATCTGAAGCAGCCTACAGCAGGAAATAAATATCTAAAGAAACATACGTTTAATCTACAGCTTGATGACTGGAAATAATGCGCTCCATTAGTTATTACAGAAGGCTTGATTTTCAAAATAAAACTGATTGGGAAAAAAAATGTCGAGAGTCAGAGCGCACACTAATTTAAAACTCAGGGAAGCACAGTTTTTCCCCTCCCTAAACCATGAAGACTAAGACTTCCCAAGTTTTCTGCAGACCTGGGAAGGTGGGAGGCTCTCGCTGAGCCCTCAGCCACGTCTTCAGAGCCTGCAGCTATTCAAAAACCATGTTGGAGGCAGATGTGCCATTAACTCCGGCATCAGAGATTCACAGTGAGAGAAGTGAAGGGGTGTTATTACAGCAACAGCCCCCACAACAGCCCTTCACTTCTCTCCCTGTTATTTGACCAGCCTTTAATAACTTCAGCAATAAGTGCCAAATCTGTGGATTGAGGTATGTGACCTGCCACCCGAGGAGAGCCCCTGGCTTGCCGAGCAGGGCAGCGAGTGCCACAGGGAGGTAATGACCAGGTGTCCCTCTGCCCGAGGGGGATCGGCACTTCTGCCAGGTGAATCATCCTGCCCGGCTGTCCATCGAGGTCCTTCCAGCAGCAGCTCTCTGAGCACTGAGTTTTACCCCATCGCCTATATGTTAATTTTTCTCTGTCAAAATCCACTGCTTAAGGAAGAAATGGAAGATCTCTCTTAATGGGGCAGTGACCTTGGGGTTATTTTTTCTTACATCAGGACTTAATGGTGCTATGGGGGCAAGTAGCAGGAATTTCAGGGCAAAAAGTAAGCAGGTAATTCATGATCCAGCATCAAACGTTTCTGCCCATTAGAAAAAAGAAAGCCTCAACATCAGCTGTAAATAAACTGGAAGATGGGAGGAAACAGGGTGTTAAAAAAAATCTGATTGAAAACTAATTCTACTAACAATTTCATTATTATGACTATCACATTACCAGAATACCATCATTAATAGTTGGGGACTAGTTGAATTTGAAAAGCTCCATGCATACATGAATGGGGGCAATAGAAGCAAAAAAATAAATATTATGTACTTATTTCAGAGTGGAAGTGGTGAAAATGACACATTGAATAATTTGGGAAATGCCTACACTCATAAAAATCGTAATAAATCCACAGAAGAGGCTAACATCTACACCTTAGTATTGACATACCTAAAACCCAGAATACACTCAAGGTATAAAACCAAAAACTGAAAAGTAATTCAGGGTGGAGGGGGAAAGAAAAACTTAGTGTAACTTGTGACAGGTGAGTGAAACTTATATTACAAGCATATGTCTGTCTTCATGGTCTTTGCTTTTAAGCAAGTAAATATTAATAAAAATTATTTTCTTATGCATTATTCAGCTTGTGTTGACAATACAAAACACATTTCAAGTTTGCATGCACATAGTTTTTGCATGCACATAATTTGAGTTATACAGAGTCCAACAGGAGAACAAACTAAATCTCAAACTATGTTATCATCTAAAACTTCAGTTTCCATAAAAGGGATGTAAGCAACTTCATTCCTTTAAAGCAAGGTCACAGAGAAGCAAAGCAACCTGCCAAGGATCATTCAGAGTGTTGGTGGCAGAAATGGGAAGACAACGCAGGTCTCGGCTTCAGTACAACACTGTGCCTGAAGGAGAACCTATGGATTTGTTTTATTTTAGGGAAGTTTACAGGACACAGGACTATCTAATGTCCTAACAGTAATAACTATGTCAATGCAACATACAAAAGTGTTAAGTTTAACAGGCAAGCCATGCAATATTAAGGTCTACAGGATGCTACACATCAGGATACTTACAGTAAAACCCAACAGCTGCGGGCAGGAAAAAAAGAAAAAAACTGTGTCAAGACCAAATCAAGATTTAGATGTTTACAAAACTTATCAAGTGTATGTAGTACACTGTCAGAAATATTTTGGTTTTCTCTGCCATTAAAAAATGACAGCATATTTGTTATAGTAAACTTAAAGCAAAGGTTAAGAAGGCCTAGTTACCAACATTTCGTATTATGCAATAACTTGTATAGTATTAAGTGAAGATTCTTAGAGAACATGTGTGTAGCTCTCATGCAGACAGCAAGAACCTGGATTTGCAGCAAAAAGGGAACTTATTTGCTACGGATATTTATGCCCTTGATAGTATATATCTGTGTCGTCCCTTTTAAAGGGGAAATCTGCAAGTTTACATAAACATAAGTCAGTCATAGCTACAAGGCACTTTACAGAATATGTAATTATGCACAGAACCTACACTTGAAATAGTAAAACAAGATTCTGACTTGACGTGTTTACAGGCAGCTGCGTATAACAACAAATGCCTCCCGCAGCCACCCCATAGACTGTATTCCTACAGTAATAGCAATGAAAGCATAGACTACACATCTCAAAACATTTTTCAGTTTTTCAGACATACAGTTGAATACACGTAATGTTTGTAAAACATTAAACATTAATATCGCTATGTTGGTACCACAACAGTCCTATTCTGTCGACAATACTGCTTGAAATATATATTCAAAGATGGTGGATGGACAAGTCAAATCACCAGGAGTACAGGTATTGCCACATGAGATGACAAAAAAAAGATGACAAAAGAGAAATATGCAGACAAGGACAATCTGTTTCCGCCAGAGCTCTGGGAAACTCCCGTAAATCAAAGACTCTCAGAGGTGGCAAAATACATTTCTTTGTAAAAACAAGCCAAGTGTCATATTACAAAAAAAGCAGGCGAGAGGCACAGGCAGTTTGGATTTTCAGCAAATCTCCAGTTTGGACCTGTTAGGGCCACAAGACAAACAGGTAACTGCACTCGGGATGTTTGATGCTGGTAAAAGATGTAATTTTCCCCCTGAACCAGCTGCCTTGTGATCAGCCTGTAAATCAAGCTAATGCTGCCCTTTTACCTGAAGGATTAGAGAAATCCAGAATGCTAGTTGTAGGCTGCAACAGGTCAGGGCTACTGGATGAGAGCGTTCCTGGAATAGGCATGATGGCCAAGCTGTGTCTGCACTGCCGAGTCCCAACAATGCTGTCGTCCTGCGACTGGCTCACGCTACCATCACTGCAAAACAGTTTTGTTTCAGTCATGTGCATTAAGCTCCTCACATTCATCTTGGGATGAATGAAACTACGAAAAATAATAGCACTCAGATGTTTTAATTACACAGCGTAGACAGGCTTTCAAAACAAGGACAGAGGAAAAGCATACTTGAAAGCGTTCACTGGGAGAGAAAAGATATTTTGGTCTTGTTCTGCATTTATGGATCAGATTTGCTGCGTTTTTTTAAAAGCATAAGCAACATAGACGTAATGACTGAAGATACTAAGCAACTAAAATATCACAACTTAGCAAGAAACAATTACTTTTTGACCAGAAGAGTCTGACAAACCTGAACAGTTTTGGAGGCAAGATGCTGAATCGTGTCTTGTCCAAAATTTTCCTGATTCTATTTCTCCCACCAGATACAGTGTTTGCTTTCATTTTCTTGTTTCCTTTTTCACGGGGAAACATCTGTTCCACATCTCCAGGCATATCGGGGATGGAATAACGGTTGTTTTTCTTTTCTGCAATTTTTGGAATATGTGGAATTCCATTCTTCTCTTGTCCTATCCTGCAGAGCAGCTCCTTAAACACTGTAAGAGAAGACACAATCATTGTGATTTACCTTTGCACACTAAAAGTTCACAGTGAATTCTTCTTCCCCTCAAACCTTTTGCTTTCCACGTCCCTACAGAGAAAGTGAACCAAAGAGTTACAAAACAGGCAATACGTTGTGTTTTAATTTTGATTTTAAGAGTGTGGGTCTTTTCCCATTAAAGTTTTGCTTTTCATTACTTTGGCAGAAACAGTAACCCCTAAATGTTCAATAAAAACGATGAAACATTCTGCATAGCAGAGTTCTCCTAACTACTTTTGAAATTATCACATATCACAGCAAATTTAATAGACCTAGTCTACTGTTACCGGATAGATAAGAAGAAAACATTGCGTTCATGGCAATCAGCTCTATGTATTTATTGACTTTTTTGTCTGCATCTTTTAGGTAATGGAGTGCAGATGCTTCCTCAAGAATAACTGCAAGACAGACTGATATTTTTCAAAACTGCCTTTGTTTTCTTTTAGTAATACTACTGAACAGAAGCTGCATCAAATTTCCTATCGCTTTTATCAAACAAATCCAGTCTATTACCAACACTGACTTTCCCAAAGATATAATTCCATGGAAAAGATAGTGTTTATGTTCTTTGTGTTTCTTCCCACATATAAAAGGTGAAAACAAATTGTTTGAATTGGTTTATCAATACAAATTATTTTTTTAAAGATCTTTTTAAAATCTTTTTAAATATTTTTAAATCACTCAAGTCAGAAATTCAGTATTTTTTGTCGAAAACATGGTGATAGTGGGAGAATGCAGAACTGTACACAGTGAATTTCTCAGATTGTCCCTATGAGCAAGACAACCAGGACTTTCTGTATAAAAAATCCCAAGCAAATTGCATATTTCTATTAGGTAACAAAATTTAAGGCTACAAGCCTTCACAGTATAGATTCAAATGTAAGAATTGCTCATTCTCAGCACCAGATGCTTAGCACTCAATTAAAAAGACAGGATAATAAGTATCACTGTTGAAAAAATACTTCAAGATATGAATTCATTAAAATGTATCAGGGACATCACCCTGAAATTATATCGGCTAGGAGGAAGGGAAGAGGTTAGAATCCACTGCTAAATGTACGTTGCTTACATTTGTAACACAAATGAACAATCTATCACTGCCTCAGTTATGCTTTACTTTATGTCATTTCACATTAGTCTGGACCAGCAATTACCACGGTGGTTTTATGCTTTTTTGGAATTAGAGAACCATAGAATCTTTTAGGTTGGAAAAGACCCTTAAGATCATCAAGTCCAACCGTTAACCTATCACTGCCAAGTCCACCACTAAACCATGTCCCTAAGCACCACATCTACCCATCTTCGAAATACCTCCAGTGATGAGGACTCAACCACGTCCCTGGGCAGCCTGTGCCAGTGCCCGACAACCCTTTCGGTGAAGAAGTTTTTCCTAATATCCAACCTAAACCTCCCCTGGTGCAACATGAGTTTCCTCTCATCCTATCACTCGTTACCGAGGAGAACAGACGGACCCCCACCTGGTTACAGCCTCCTTTCAGGCAGTTGTAGAGAGCAA